CCCCCCCGCCTTATCCTATTTAATGCCTGTTGGAGCCAAGCGTAAAGGGGCCTGGTGTGTTGATAGCCACATTTTGCAAAAGCCACATTTTGCACATGAGTAAACTGAGATTCAGAATGGTTAAGTCAAGTACATAATGTACACCAGGCCACACAACTAATGAACAGCCTAGCCAGAACCAGAGCCATGGTAAAAACCATTATTTGTTTTTCCTTGTTCTACACTTTGCCTGTTACTAGTATTTACTCCAACAAAAGGAAAAAGCAAAAACAAAAAAGAAAATCTATAAAGTCAGCACTATCGACTAAATGAAAAAAATCAAAGATCTTTCAAACTGTTACTTCTCTAACCTTATTTTAACTCATAAAATGTCCCCTAGTTCCAGGAAAGAAGAACAGCTCTAGGAGATCAAGAAAAGAAAGCTGAACTACAGTTTAGATCAGACCGTTGGTGTTTCGTAGTGTTTTAAGACATTAATTTCAGAATAAAGAATTATAAGAAGTAACATCCCAGGGATTAATTTTAATTTTAAAAACTTCATTGGAATAGTCTCCTCAATTATGTTAAATGCCATTGTCTCTGAACTAAATATAAACCCGTTGGAAAATTCTTGCAGTAAAGGGCCCTGGGGGCTAGATAGTTGGTCAAAAAGAGACAGTTGCCGTTGTCGTCATTTGAGACATTTGATGAGGTAGATTCTGGAATTTTAGACTTGGAAGGGCTACTAGAACTATTAGGAGTGATCTATAGTTGAGCTGTTTCATGTTGTGGAGGAAATTAGAGTTGTAGAAGGTTCAGCTGGTTACCCATCTCATCGCTAAGGGTAGTCTCTAGGTCAGAACCCACATCTTCTGATTCCTGGTGCAAAGCTGTTGTAGTACAGGCCAGGGGATCGCCCACTCCCCCTGGCCCGCAGGAGTCCTTGTTGGAAGGAAATATTATCCCTAAGCCTGATGTGCAGAACAGGTATGCTGAGCAGTCTCTAGGTGAAGGTGGGTTGGGGACTCTGACTCTGCCATTGTCTACTTAGGGGGACCAGGGTACTCAGTTGACCAGTAAGGTGGCCAGGGGGGCTCTATTTGAAGTTGCTTTTGTATAACAAGCCCACTGGTTTTCCTTAGATTGTATGCTTATTTGGAGTGGTTTTGCATGTGTGGCTCCATGGAGATTACTGTGGAGTACAAGACCTTTCCCTTCTCAAGCCACTCCTTGGTGCTCTCACTGGTTCCAGCACCCCAAGCCCAAGCTCCATCTTCATGACTCCTTGGAGCATAGTCTAAAGATCACCCCTCCCTGACAGGTACTTAGAAGCAAGATAAGCATTTTCCTAGAGCTCAGCTCATCCTAATATGACCTAAGGCAGGAATCCTTTCGTTTTCATTTCTTGCTGGGGTGTTTAACAGTTCCTGTTCTAATTGCATTAACATTAATGTGTGTACTTTTAGGGATTTATTTGTGGTCTTTAGAGATTTGGTGCACAATGAAAAATAGAAACACTCTTCTCCCTTCCAAGGAAAGAGAAAGAAAGAAAAGAAAAGAAAAACAACTTTTTAATACAGAATATTATTTTGTTCTTTGCCCTGGCAGGGAAGCAGTGCACTTTATCCAGGCTCCCTGGGTCCCCAGAGACTTTCCTTACGCACATTTCTGAGAACATATTTGTGACCAGGGTGGTGCCATTTCTGGAATGACACTAATGGAGACGTCAAAATGCCCAGCGGTGCTTCTTATTCTCTTGGTTTAAACCATTTTCATGGAGTGCATCTGCAAACATATGGGGGCAGGAATTTTTTAAGGAAAAGATTTTAAGTTTGATATTGACATTGACACTTTGTGTTTTGTACAAAGTGATACCCCTGGATATAAAGTCTCCTTGGATTACTCTCATAGACCTTTCCCAGGATTCATCAGAAACATAATTTTGAAAATGTTTTTTTAATGAGCACTATTGTAACTGTTTTTTGGTTTTTTTTCCCTGTTAGCCTAGTTGGGAGGAACCAATGCCAGGGTCATGAGTTTGATTTCTGGGCCATCCTAGTAGTTTCTCTTGCTTATTTCACAGGCAGGGAAGTGTTCCTCTTGCTGCCCAGCTATCTTGCAGAGCTCCCTCCTTGGTGGCACCAGGGGAGGGGGGCGGGTTAATGGATAAGTGCAAACCTTTCACCACTAATGGATCAGACAACAGGGAACAGATGCCGTCCTCCGGGCTGGTCAGTGAAATTGACATTGTGTATGAAGGACACTCCATTTTCCCTGTGATATTTGGGTGTGAATGCCCATCACACAAAACAGATTCTGGGCCTTGAAAAAAATACACACAATTGTTAACAAAACCCTAGTTAAAAGAGGGTGGAAATTAACTTTTTGCTTTTTATTAAGAAGGCATCAAATGAGTCCCTAAAGCTCTTGAAAAGTAATGTAGAAATCCTGTCTGATTAAATATTAGTAGTATTCAGAGAAAAGCGAGCCATCTTCATTTCAGAAAGGCTCACTTTTCCGGTGAATGGAGAATACTATTTTTGTAAGCAGTGTTTCAAAAAG